CACACACACACACACACACACACACACACACACACACACACACGGGTGCCAAGGCAGGGAGGAGCTGTTTGATTAACACACAGCTCTTAGAAACCTGGTGGGATCCAGGCCGAGCTGAGTCAGAACTGCAGCACCTGGAGCCACGTGCCTCACCAGCTGCTAGGGCTCCACTCCCAATTCTGTGACTTGCCTTCAGCGGGGACAGCTTCTCATTAGCTCCTTGGAGTTGGTGGCAAGCCAACAGACACAGCCAGGCCTGCAGAACATGTCCCCACCTGAATAGCTGCAGACCAAAGCCAAGCGTGGGATGCGTTTCCAGATAAAGCAAGACACTTCTTGGAGAACTTGAATATTGTAATCTCCTCTCTTATTATTGTGATTCCGATTAACCCATTGCCACAGAGTCGATTCTGACTCATAGTGGCCCTAGAGAGGGTTTCCCAAGGCTGTCAAGTTTTACAGAAGCAAAGAGCCTTGACTTTCACCCACAGAGCGACTGATGGCTTTGACCCACCAGTGCGCAGTCCACCATGTACCTGACAGTGCCCAGTAGCTGCCATCTCAACTCTAGACTCATCAAGATGGCCTGCGCAATGGGGTTGGACTATGGTGACACAGAAGGTTTTCGTTGGCTGGCATTTTCTAATTACATCGCCAGTCTTTTCGTTCTAATGTGCTCTTTTGGGAGCAGCTTAATTGCAATCATAGTTCCAGCCTGCTGTCTTCTCCCTCTTTGGTCTTGGAAGTTGGCTCCCTTGGTGTGTGAAACTTTCCTAAGGTTTTTCCACGAAGGGGCTAAGGCAACATTTCTAGGACTTAAACTGCTAACAGCACAATTCTCCCCAAAACTCCTGTAAGCTCTAACAGGCATGCTTCCTCTCAGGTGTTTAGAGTATTCAAGAAATCACCGCACTGGATATAAAATTGTAATGAGAATAACCTTTTTTTTAACCAGTCTCATGGGCATATAATTCACATCATACAATTCAATAGTTCAATCACATCAAGAAGAGCTGTACAATCATCACCACCATCGGTTTAAGAACATTTTCTTCATTCTCGCCCGCAGCGTGATTAGCTCCCCATTTCCCTCCAACCTCGCCTGCCCTGCCCCCAACGAACCAATAATCTAGCTGCTGTCTCTCTAGGTCTGCCTATCCTGGATTTCAGCGACAGAAAACAACTTAAAAAAACACTAACAACAATATCAAAGTAAAACAGGTAAGAACCTCAATCAGAACAAAAAACAAAAACTAGAACAGAATCGATGGATCAAAAGGGGGATCAAATGATCAGGTGTTCCATTTTAACCTCTCTACCTCTGCCGTCAGCCACATTCCAGTGCACGTTGCGTGAGAGCAAAACTACTCCCAGACGAACCGTTAGCAACAAATGCAAAACGTGGAGTGAACGTCTCAGAATTCGAGTTTCTTGTGGTTTTAATTATTTCGAGGAAAGGAATTGAAACATTCCAATCCATGAACGTCAAACCCCTAACAAAGGAGCATCCTATTCTGGCTGTGACTAATGTGACCACCTGCCGTTCCTGACTTGCCATCCGCAGGAAGGGGACAGAGAGGGGCTGCAATGCCCCCGTACACGTACACGGTGGACCCGGCTGTGGGGATCAGTAAGAAGTATTCTGAGCTCAAGAAGACCCACTGGGTAGGGGCTGTCAGTTGATGCGCTCACCACTCTACCCCCCAAGAGAGAAATCCAAAGAGGAATCCCTCTTTTTTCTTAGCCTGGATGATCCTGGGAAGAGTCAGGTTGGTGACTAGCAAGGGTTTCGTCCTTCCACTTTCTTCCTCGATCCAGCAATGTGCCAGCCTGATGACTGCAGGCCCGAGGGTGGACGCAAAGGTTACAGCAGAGACCAAATTAGAGTACCCCTGTCAATCATTTACTCGATGACGCTGTCACAGCAGAGGATGGGGTCCCAAGTGATAAATAGTACTGATTGGACTTGTCCCCTCCCTTCCTTATAAAGACTTCCATGATCCGAGAATATAAACGGTACCTTTCCACTGTCGGAAGGCTTTGTTTCCCATTAGTGTGGCACGTGTGGCCTCTTTTACTGTATATTGAGTCCCGGGTGAAAATAAGACGAGGGAGTTGGAGAGGGTAAAGGGCCGGACCGTTCCACATCACTTCAGCCTGCACGAATGCACGCAGATAGTGCAGCACACACTTCAGGATAGAACCACGCTGTGCTGGGAAGGCTCTGGCTCACCAAGGCATGACCTCAGTGGATTCACACTCCGGAGCTTGCGCTCCTGCGTTTCTGCACAGTGACAAGCCAATGGGGTGGCATGAGCACGATGTCCCTTCAAAAGGAAAACCTTGCTAAGTATATCCTATGCCTACGGGAGACATACGTCCTCAGAAATAAAGTCTATATTCTGGAATAAGAAGGCACTGAATGCATGCGGCAGCTTCCTGTCTGTCAAGCACAGAACAAGATCTCTAATTCCCATGCCTTCCCAGGAGAGGCTTTGTCCTTGGCAAGGCAAGACTTCTGTCAAGAAGCTGAAGGGCATCATGGGATTTCTCTACCAGCTGCTCCTGGGGGAAAGTCCTAGGGCTGCCAGGATATGACAGCTCCTGACAAACCCAGCTCCCTTGGGGATTGGGGAGGGGGGGGGGGCTGTTGTCTCCTGCTCCGTCTCTCAAGCTCACTGCCATCAAGGGGATTCCAACTCATAGCAACCGGATAGGATGGGGGTGGGGGTGGGGGGCACCCACTTTCCCATCATCATGGATGCATTTGAGTTGTGGTGCTGGAGAAGAATACTGGAAGTACCATGGACTGCTCAAAGGGCAAACCCATCTGTCTTGGAAGAAGTAAAGCCAGCGTGCTCCTGAGAAGCGAGGATGCGAGATTTCGTCTCCCATGTTTTGGGCGTGTTGTCGGGAGAGACAGTCGCTGGGGAAGGGCAGCCTGCTTGGCAAAGTGGAGGGGCAGCGACAAAGAGGAAGTCCCTCGGTGAGACGGACTGATAGAGGTATGGCAACAATGGGC